AATTAGGAAGTTTTTTTGTTTGTTTTATGGAGGCATCCTTTGCTTTACAGAAGGATCCCCTTCGGGCTCTGTTTAATTACCTTCTGGAGGTTGTTTTAAATAGGCTCTGTCTTTGCTGCCTTTAGAGGTTTGGAGAAGCAGCTTGGAAGGAGGCAGAGGGGAAGGGGAGTGAGCCAGACTGGGGGCGGTTGCTCCCTTCATCTGGGTTTTGGGTGCTGGGGTATGCCCTGCTCCACACCCAAAAGGCAAGGCTTCTCCTTCTGAGGCCCACCCTCTGCCCCTTCCCTTGGCCTCTACATGGGGTTCTAATAGGTTCTTATGGCAGCTCGGCTGAGACACTGGCCATTTCTGAAATCAGCAAACTTCTGCATTGTTCCAGCAACCTCTTGCCCAGACTGCTTCCCCCACCCCTGCTCTGTCCTCATTGCCCAAGCTGAGAAATCAAGCAAGGTCCAAAGTCTCACGTCCACATGAGTTCCAAGGGTGCGACTGGGGCCGCACCCTTTTATGTTCCGCCAGAGGCATGGAGTGAGATGGGCTGAGCCCAGAGAAGACAAGTCATATTAAGGATTTTATAGGTTAAAGGTTGAGGAATTCGCAGGTTAAAGTGTAGTTACTTCACAGGCTGATGAGAAGATGCCAGAGGCTCCCCATTTAAAATAAACATTAAAAGTTTTTTTTCACATTTATTTTTTTTTGAGAGACGGAGCAAGACAGAGTATGAACAGGGAAGGGGCAGAGAGAGAGGGGGGACACAGAATCTGAAGCAGGTTCCAGGCTCTGAGCTGTCGGCACAGAGCCCGATGCGGGACTCAAACTCACGGACCGTGAGATCATGACCTGAGCTGAAGTCGGACGCTTAACCAACTAAGCTATCCAGGTGCCCCTAAAGTAAACATTTTTAAAAAAGGATCTACTGGGTACAGAGTTTCAGTTGGGGAGGATGAAAAGGTTCTGGAGGTGGATGGTGGTGATGTCCACATAACAATGTGAATGTGCTTAATGCCACTGACCTGCCACTTAAAAGTGGTTAAAATGGTAAATTTTTAGGTTATGTATATTTTTCCACAATAAAAAAAGATGGAAAATAGCCTAAAAGTCCACTTATAGGGTACGGTTTACAATATATGCATCCAAGGTTTCTGTTAGGAAGAGTGGTGGTGACATGGAAAGATCTCCGAAATATATAGATGCCTAAAGGGAGAGAACAGTGAACGTCAGTGTGCTAACATTTAGGAACAGGTGCATGTGGTGGTTAAGACTGGAGACTTTGGAACCAGACTAGTTGGGTTCAAATCCCAGTGCTGCTGTAAGACTTTGGGCAAGTCCCATAACCTGTCTGTGCCTCCATTTGCACATCTATAAAGTGGGGAATGTACTAGTCCCTGCCCCAAGGGGCTATTGAGGAGATTACATTAGTTAATATGTACAAAGCTCTCAGAAGGGTGTCAGACTCCTAGCACTTGTTCACTAAATATGAATGAATGAGTGAGGATGAATGGAGGGACAAATCTGAGCTCTGCCTCTGAGACCTGGAGGTGGCTCTGAGCTTTGGCTTCCTCACTTGGGCTGTGAGCAGGTTTCTGAGTGTGAGAATCAAATAATTAAAGGGAGGGAAGGTGCTCAGCCCAGCGGGGAAGCATGGAATTATGTGTGAGGCTTTGTTATCGCCTCTTATCTGTGGCACTGGCCTGCGTGGTGTGGTGGTGTCATTGCAGGGTGGGGAATATGTCTGTGTGCGCTGGGTCCCTGGCCTTGCCGCTGACGCCCCCGCTCCTGGGTGAGGCAGAGGAGGCAGTCCTTGCACCTGAGGGACATGGCCGTGGCCGTGGGTGACAAGCACTGGGCTGCGCAGCTGGACTTCTGCGGGAGGGGAGCGACAGGTGCTGGCGAGGGGCATCAGCCACCGGGCTGCAAGGAGGAGGTTCGGGGACCCCAGGATGATGTCAGCTGACTCTCCTCCTCTTCTCGTGCCTCAGGCACGGCAGTCACCCTGGCCACACCAGGCAGCAATCTGCTCCAGAGACTCCTGGAGAGCAGGAGAACATGAGTCGAGAGGCCAGGTAGGCCCGGGGGCCCATCTCCATCCTGCCACCAACCCGGAGGACCCTGGCTGAGTCACTTATTCTCTCTGAGACGAGTTGCTTTGTCTGAAAATAATCTACCTACCTCACAGGCATGTTGTAGGAATAAAGACAATCGAGATGAAGTTACTTTGAAAAATAATTAAGTCCCTTAAAAATAGATTGCTCATTTGAATGACTTCTCCTCTACTTTAGGCATTCATTGAGCACGTTCCAGGGGCTGAGTGAGTATTTTAGATATGTACACCTCATTGAGACCTCTGTTTAGTCAGGGTGAGCCAAGCACCAGAACAAACAACCCCAGATTTCAGGGACTTACGCACAAAGGTCTATTTCTCTCTCATGTCAGAGTCCAGTGCTGCTGGGGAACAGGGCACATGCCATTGTCCAGGGCCTGGCCTCCTCTGCCTCGTGGCTTTGCTGCCACCAGCCTCCACTGGATCCTCTGCGGGAGGTTGCGGGGCCAGGCCTGGTGGAGGCGTGGTGAATGTCACTTCCACCCATAGTTCATTAGCCAGCACCCCATCACATGAGCCCACCTGCCTGTGAGGGAAGCTAGAAACACAGGCTTCGCTGTGTGCCCAAAGGGAAATGCAAACTGCTGGGAGCATCCAGCACAGTTCTGCCCTACTCTTACAACAACCCATTTCACTGATGGAGAAACTGAGGCACACAGGCAGAGTAATCACACATCCAGCAAGTGATTTGAACACAGTTCTAATACCTGTTCTTTGTACTGTCGTTTGATGTCTTAGACCAGTGTTTTCCACCCCAGCTGTTCATCAGAATCGTGGGGAATTTTTTCTTTTCTTTTCTTTTTATAAGAGTTATATAAAGAGATCTTGCACTTTTTTTTTTTTTTAAATAAAATTTTGGAGCACCTGGGTGGCTCAGTCAGTTAGGCATCCAGCTTCGGCTTGGGTCATAATCTCCTGGTTCATGGGTTTGAGCCCCATGTAGGGTTCTGTGCTAGCGGTGAAGAGCCTGCTTCAGATCCTTTGTCTCCCTCTCTCAAGCTCATGCTCTCTCTCCAAGAAATAAACATTTAGAATAGGATAGAAAGGGGCGCCTGGGTGGCTCAGTTGGTTGAGCTTCCGACTTCGGCTCAGGTCATGATCTCATGGTCCGTGAGTTCAAGCCCTGCCTCGGGCTCCTTGCTGACAGCTTGGAGCCTGGAGCCTGCTTTGGATTCTGTGTCTTCCTCTCTCTCTGCCCCTCCCCCATTCATGCTCTGCCTCTCTCTGTCTCAAAAATAAATAAACATTAAAAAAATTAAAAAAAAAAGAATAGGAGAGAATAGATTAGAATGGAATTTTAATTTAGAATAGCTTTAGGTTTGCTGTGTGCCCAGCACTGTGGGAGATACTGGAGGACAGCAGCAGGCATGCCCTTGCCTCTAAGAAGCTGGACCTAGAAATGGAAGATTCTGATCCTGGGTGGGGAGTATGGGGTATCAGGAATCTGAGCACAGGGCCTGGGGTTGCACCAGAGCTGGTGCTGGGACTGGAGGCGCACTGTATGAAGGCACTTTCTGAGCAATAGAGGATCTGCCTTTTATCACTTTTTTTTTTTTTACCTCTTTGCTGTTATGCACTGACTCACCTTCTTTGGCCAACAGTGATTTTGCATTTAGTTTTTCTCTCTTCAGTCCCCTTTATCCCTAATTATTAAAAAAAAAATCTACCACTTCTAATCTTTGAGAGTCTGGAATAGCAGACAATCAAATATGTTTGAAATGTATCTAAAATAAGGATAATTAGGCTGTGAATTAAGGCTTGAGGGACTCTGCTGTGAGTAAAATGCATAAACTTTAATATATCAATCTTACGCTTCTGTTTCTGCTACCCAGTAGCCTTCTGCAGTTTAATTTATATTCCAGATGACAATGCTGCTATATAAATGAAGCGTAACTGAAGCGTTCTCTTGTAAAACTCAAATCAACTGCTGGCCACCTCCTCCCTCTCACCCCATACCTTCTTGCTCCTTTAAAAATGCCCCGCCTTTGGTTTGCCCATAAATTTTGACTACGTTTGCTTGATTTCTTTTTGAAAGGTTTATCTTATCACATTTTAACATCTCTCAAATGGGATGAGTCTGTTAATTGATGGAGGTCTTGGCATTATGTTATACTTTTATTTCTTAGTGGGACATGCTAGTGTATCTTAGGGTCAGTGATGTCTTAGATTCAATGAAATACAGCATTTGTGTCATTTGAAGGAACTGGCAATTGTTCTGTCCCTCCAGCCTGTCTCCTGTGCTGTGCTGGAGAGACCTCACCGCTCATCTGAAAGCAACTTCTCTTTATAACCTTGTTATAATAACAGCAACAATAGGAAAATAATGCCCACAGCAGTCGGCAGCAATAAAGCCCTTCCTGTGTGTCCAGCGCTGCGTCAGTCACTTTTCCTATTCCTCTTTAACAATGTTGGAGGCAGAGCTATTATCCGCATTCTACAGGTGAGGAAATGGAGGTTCAGCGGAAGAAGTGGCAAAGCCAGGCATCCAGGCAGTCTGTCCAGCCTTGAAAAATCTGTGTTATGCTGCCTCTAGTGATTCTGGGAGGCAGTTAAAGTAACTTCATTGAAATCGGGACTTCATACCTGGCCATACCTTAGAATCAACTAGAGAATTGCTGGAAGAATTTCTCAAGTAATTTTACAGCGCAGCCAGAGCAGAGGACCCTTGGTTGAAATGATCTGCATGAGAGACCCGAGCTCTGCTGTTCTGGGCTCCCTGATGCCACAGCCCCAGGGATGCTGCCAGTCCTGGGGGCGTCAGGACAGCCTGAGCTTCTCAGGCCCTCCGAACTGGATCTCTTGGTTAAAATATGGGGCTTTGAGACTTTAAATTGATATGTGCTTTGAATTTTTGTCCTTTATTTCCTTTTCCTTTTTTCTCTCCCTTCCTTCCTTGCAGCTCTGGAGTGCACAGAAAATCAAGCAGGTAATTCAATTTTGGATTCATTTCCTTCCCTCCTCTCTGCTCTCCTGGACCTTGCCCTGCGCTGTCCTGGGGAATCATGGCTGTGCTGCTCAGCCTTGCCCCTCCCATTTGCCACGTGCTGCCCTGCCGTCCCTTCTTTCCCAACACCCAGGGCCTGAGTTTCTGAATGCCAGCGCTCAGGCCCCTTGCCTTCTCCTGGGCCCCTGAGCTCCTTCCCTGTGGGCTCCTCTACAAAATCCTTCTTCCATGCCCACTAAATACTAGGCACAGGGGACAGAGGACCCAGTCCCAATCACCTGCATTCAGCTTTGAGCATTAATCAGGAAAAGTCCTGTTTGCTGCCTGTGTTTTGTTTCTCTTGCCTTGAATGGTGAGAAAGGACTGGCCTTCCAGTCCTCCCGGGGGGAGCTCTCCTTTCCCTCCCTCCTCTTCCTCCCCACAGTCACCCTGTGCTCTGTTCCCTGCTCTTGCCAGGCTATTCTACACCCAGATACCAATGAGAAGATCTTCATGCCCTTTAGAATGTCAGGTAAGCCCCTGGGACCCTCCTGAATCTGCCTGGCCTCGGGCGCTTACCACGGTCACAGCTGCAGAAGCATCCGGATGCACCAACCTGAGGAGGGGCAGAACCCGTTACACACACGGCCAGTTTGCACCTCCGTATTCACCTTGGCTCGACCATACACGTCTCTGGCCAGGCCTTAGAATCACCTGTGGGGCTTTAAAAAAAAATGTGCCTGCCTGCCTTTTCTTCCTGAGCAGTTGGGGTGCAGTGGAGGCCTCCACAGGTGAATCTGGGGCTCCTTTTCCTGTTTTACACCACCCACCTACAGCAGCAGCCTCAGGGATGATACCTGCTTCCGGCAAGCCCTATCTTCTCTCTCACCTACCTGTGTATACTGTGCTCTTTCCTTGCAAACCACGCTCCCTTAAAGGCACTTAATCCCCAGGCTAACTCCCTGGTGTCCGATCCTGCTATTAACCTGTACTCCAGAATGCATGAACTGCATTAGCACTACTGTGCACACAGGGAGGGTGGATTCCCATTCTGTGGAGACCAGTGGTAGAGGGGCTGGGGTGGGAAAGTGGACATAAGACCCCTGCCCCCAGGAAGTCCCTGCCCCCAGGAAGTCCCTGCCCAGTGGTCACTAGAGGGAAGCTCTTTGTGCATGAGCTTAGTAGCCCAGAAAACACTTGCACGCACGGGGCCTGGCCTAGCGTGTTTGTCCTACCTGTAGTTCCGAGAGGCCACAGGCCCTGTCCAGAGTCACACAGCAGAGGTCAGACTCCCACCAGAGTGTTGATGCCTACTGCGTGGCATTTCTCAGTGCACTGGGGCACTCTTGCAGGGTGGGTGGGAGGGCTGTTGGCTGCTGCCTTGAGAAGTCCTCAGGTGGCTGGAGAAAGAGTCTCTATCAAGAGGTGTTCTCAGCTGAGTCAGTCAAGATCCCCACCCCCAGACAGCCTGACCTCATGTGAGTGAGAGAACAAACAACCACGTGACCTCATCGTGCTGAGGCATTGCGTGCCCACGGACCCTCCTTGCTTGGCTGTGAGGAACTCCCAGGTAGCAAAGGCCTCTGGCCGAGCATCTTGCAGCTACGGCTGTAGGTGCACCGGGCCACAGCACGCTCTCACCTGGGGCCTGGATCCTCTTGTAATTCTCCAGTCAAACCTGGGGCCCATCTCCAGAGGAATGCGGGCAGTAGAGTGACGGTTCATGTGCAAGCGCAATTATGCACAGTCAGGATGCGAACCTTTGCTTTAGATAACCCAGATAAGTGTGGTTCTCTGCTGTCCAGCCCGCCAGCTGACTGCCTGCCATAAGCTAGAGGCCAGGGACACAGGGCCGCCCACTGACAGTGGGAGGTGGAGGGCAGCAGACGGGGCCTCCGATAGTCCAGGGAAGCGAGCGGTGAGGAGACAGTGCCTGGGGCCTGCTCTACTGAGGATGTTTAGGCAGGGTAGGAGAGATTTAAAGAGTACCCCTGGCACTTAGAGGTACACATCTCAAGTGTGTGGAGAGTTCCCCTTTCAGAACTGAAGTAAGGCTGTGTGCTAGAAAGGTAAGCTGAGAGAAGAAGGAGGACATTCTGGGGCCTTTGAAGGCAGCGTGCTGTGTGTAGTGGGCGTGGGCAGGGGACACGGTGCCTCCTGGAGGAAATCATGGAAGGAACACCAACTGTAGCACCAAGTGCATGGTGTTACCAGCGGTGGGCAGCCCTGCCCTCAGCAGAGGGCTTCTGAGTTTTGGAGTGAGAAGTATCTGGCCAAAGGGGAACAGAGAGAGGGTGGCTGGGGGACACGGGGGAGCCCTCTATCCTGGGGAGGGCTGAGCCGGGAAAAGGCCTGGGGGCTAGAGGTGCCTTCTGCCTCGCTGACCTGAGCTCCCTCATCAGGACCATTGCCAAGACCAAGTCTAGAGGTCTCTTCCGGTGCCTCTGTTGAGGGGTGGAGTGGGATGGGGTGGGACTGTAAGACCTGACCCTTTCCTCTCCCCTCTCAGGTTACATTCCTTTTGGGACGCCAATTGTAAGTACTGCCTTCAAAGGGTTTTCTTTTCTAAAAAAGTGTTAATGTATAACTCTATATCGTAATAGAGTTATGTGATAGAGTAATATCATAAATATTTGAGATGTTGATTTAAGATTCATTCCTGGAGGGGAATTAGCAGGTAAAGTAGCATGCATGTCTTTTTAAATCTCTTGGTGTGTATTGTCTAACTTCTTTCCACAAAAGTGTGCCAACGTGCACCTAAGACAGAGCCTCCAAGTGCATTTGTCCCTGCACATTCCCATGCTGAGTATTGCCACTAGGACATGCTCCTTAAAAAGACTTTTCCCAAAAAGCTTAGGAAGTCAGAGGATAAGCATGCCTGCTGAAACCCAAAGTTTAAAATTAACTCAGAGGGGTGCTTGGGTGGCTCAGTAGGTTAAGTATCTGACTTTGGCTCAGGTCATGATCTCACGGTTCGTGGGTTCGAGCCTCACATTGGGCTCTGTGCCGACACTCCGAGCCTGGAGCCTGCTTCGGATCCTGTGTCTCGCTCTCTCTCGGCCCCTGCCCTGCTCACGCTCTGTCTCTCAAAAATAAATAAATGTTAAAAAAAATTAAAATTAACTCATAAAGGATTCAGTATTCTTTTTGTTTTGTTTTGGAATTAAGGTTAAGTTTGCCCTTTAAAAAAAAAAAATATATATATATATATATATATGACACATGTATAGAAGGGTGCATTCATCATAAATGTACAGTGTGGTACGTTTTCACAAAGCAAGTACATCCAAGTAACCTGCACTTAGATTCAGAGCCTAGCAGCCTCTCAGGAACCTCTCGTGTACCCCTCAGTCACTACCCCCACAGGGAATCACTTTTCTGACTTCCTTTACTATATTCCAATTTTGCCTATTACTGAATTTTATATAAAGGATATCACCAGGATGTACTTTTTTTGGTCTGTCTTCTTTCCTTCAAAATTATCTGTGGGACTCATCCATACTATACGGACATCCATATTGACTCACCCATATTGGTGTATGTAGTATTTATTTGTTCTTTTTTCATTGCTTTCTGTGTCATATCGCATTGTTAGAACTATATCAAAATTTACTTATCCATCCTCCTTATTTTCTGACTTCCTAAGCTTTTTGGGAAAACTCCCCTGTAAGTAGCATGTCCTGGTGACAATACTGGGGTTTGGAGTGAACAACAAACAGTGGTGCTTTGTACAAGTCTTTTAGAGGGTATTTTCCCTCACTTCTCCTGGATTATACCTACAGTGTTAAAGAGATAGCAATGAAATGCAGCGTGTAATCCTAGAGCTGGGATCGGGACCAGGGCAGGGGTATGTGTGAGATGGTATTGTGGTTTCTTGGAAACTGAACATACATTACATATGATGTGAGTCAGTAACCGTACTTGTTGGCGTTTCCTCCAAGAGAAATGAAGACATATGTCCCCACAAATTTCTGTACACAAATGTTTATAGTGGCTTTCTTCGTATTAGCCTAAAACTGAAAAAAGGTAAGAATGACCAACAGATAGTATATCTATGAGTGAAAACCTGACTGGGAACAGAGTCATGGCTTAGTCTGAAAGTTTCCTATATATCTCATAGGTCTCATTCCTTCTCTGTGTATTTGCAGACCCCCCTTCTGTAAAAAAGCGTTTTCCCATCTGCCTTTCCCTTTTAATGTTTTTTAAATTATCAGTAAGTATGGTGGGTGTATTTTTTGTATTTGGTTGATAACAATTTACTTCTGTCATTATTCATTTTCATATGCAGATTGTCCCAAATGTGACCAGTAGGAAACCTTTAAAGCAGTTTCTCTGTCCATTTGACAAGTCCTCTTTATCCTTTGATACTTTAGTACTTTTTGGCACAATGTATAGATATTCCAGACTCATCTTGTGGTCTCTGCCCCAGTCCTGGAATCATGCATTTCTACAAACAGCTCTGATTCTCTTCAGAGAAGAATGGTATTTAGAAACCAACATCTGAATGCTTAGGTGTGCTCACTGTTGCTGGAGCCTCATTGTTTCTAGGCCCTCTTAGCATGCATAGCTAGGAAATACCACTTCTTAAAAATGATGAGTTTATGCAATACCTTGAATCCCAATCCAACATCTCAGAAGTCTTCCTTCCTCCCATTTCATATTTATATCCCCCTCCTCCCTGAATGAGAAGCCAACAAACATATGTGTACTCGCTTACCAAATCTTGCACACAAATGAAAGAATTTCAGAATTGCTATATCAGTAGTATTCCCCAAAAGTGTATTAAGTGAAGTTCAAGATTTCTTTGAAGTTCTTTTTGTCCTTGGACTCTATCCTCCTGAGGGTGTACAGTCACAGAATTGTGGTCAAAAGTTATTTGAAGTAATGTTTTTCTTTTGTGTGGTTATTTGTGTGATATACAGTTAGGTTTATTTGTTATTGTTGGCATTCAGTTTTAGTTGCTTCTCTGTTCTTATTGATTTTTTTTAATATCTAAAATATCAACATAAGTCAAAGCTATATAAAAAGGCATGATAAACGTTCCATTCCCTGGGGCACCTGGGTGGCTCAGTTGGTTGAGCATCTATTGATTTGGGCTTAGGTGATGATCACAGGGGCATGGGATTGAGCCCTGCATTGGGCTCTGCACTGAGCATGGAGCCTGCTTGGGATCCTCTTTCTCTCTCCCTCTGCCCCTCTCCCCTGTGTGTGCTCTCTCTCTCTCTAAAATAAAATTTTTAAAAAGTTCCACTTCCTATCCTGTGTAGGTAAACAATTTTATCCGTCCTATTTCTTTTTCTAAATAAGCAGATACAAATATAGGTCCCATTTTTTCTTATACAAAAGGTAGCATTCTATATATACTCTTTTGCATGTTGTTTTTTCCACTTAATCACATATTCTAGAAATCATGGCCCATCAGTTTATACAGGTCTTCCTTGTTCTGTTTTTTTTCTTTTTAACATTTGTTTATTTTTGAGAGAGTGCAAGGAGGGGAGGGGCAGAGAGAGGGGGACAGAGGATCCAAAGGGGGCTCTGCTGACAGCAGCAACAGCAGTGATGTGGGGCTTGAACTCACAAACTGCATGATCATGACCTGAGCTGAAGTCGGACGCTCAACCAACTGAGCCACCCAGGTGCCCCATCATTCTTTTTTTTAAATGGCTATCTAACTGTCTACTTTGTGGAAGTGGCATAATTTATTCAGCTAATTTCCTTCAAATGGACATTGAGACTACGTCCCACTATATTGCTATGATGAATTATGCCAGAATGGGTAATCTTGTGCATATTGTTTTGATATAGTTAGAGATATACCTTGAGGGTAAATTTCTAACTTCTGTGTAAGGACTAATTCAATAGACATTTCTGGAAACACTAAACAAGAAAAAAGAAGATGCAAATAAACAATATTAGGAATAAAAAGTACAATAACTGTATATACAATGGAACTTTAAAAGATCAGAATGCATTAAACGATATGGGGTAATAAATCTGAAGACCTGGAAGAAAAGGGCACATTTCTAGGAAAGCACAGCTTCCGAAAGACCACCAAGCAAGAGGAAATACGGAATATGACTAGACTATGAATAACAAAAAATTAAATCAGTTGTTTAAAATATATGCACCAGGGGAGCCTGGGTGGCTCAGTCGGTTAAGCGTCCAACTTCGACTCAGGTCATGATCTCGCGGTCCGTGGGTTCGAGCCCCACGTTGGGCTCTGTGCTGACAGCTCAGAGCCTGGAGCCTGTTTCAGATTCTGTGTCTCCCTCTTTCTCTGACCCTTCCCTGTTCATGCTCTCTCTCTGTCTCAAAAATAAATAAATGTTAAAAAAAAAATGCACCAAAGAACGAACAAAACATAACCACTAGACTCCCATGATCTTCCAGATGACTACTCTTTATTTTTATTTTTATTTTTTTAATGTTTATTTATTTTTGAGAGAGAGAGACAGAGCACAAACAGGGGAGGGGCAGAGAGAGAGGGAGACAGAGAATCTGAAGCAGGCTTCAGGCTCTGAGCTGTCAGCACAGAGCCCGATGCGGCACTTGAACTCACAAACTGTGAGATCGTGACCTGAGCCAAAGTTGGATCCTTAACCAACTGAGCCACCCAAATGCCCCTCTGGATGACTACTCTTAAAACAATAGCCAAACTCAATTTTCATTATACTCAAGAAAGAGGATAAAAAGAAGAAATGTTCCCAGTTCATTCATGAGGCACTTTGAGACCAATACCAAAGAAGTAAATGGAAGAAAGAAAAATTGTAGGCTAATATCACTTATGAAATTACAAATAGAAGTCCAAGTGAAATAACAAATTGAATCCAGCAATGCATTAAGACATGTCATAACCAATTTTTACTAAGAATGATAACATTAGGAATATATTAATAGAGTTCATCACATTAACAAATTAAAGGAGAAATGTGATAATCTCAGTACATTTAGAAAAATGATTTGGTAAAATGAAACATAAGTCCATTTATGACTTTTTTTTTTAAAGAGCAGATTAGATTCAGAAGGGAACGTTGTTAATTTATAGAGGGTCTATCCAAAAAAAAAAAAAAAAAAAAAAAAAATCCCAACCCCAAAGCAAGCAACATTCTTAAAGATGAAACAGATGAAGGTAAATTCTTAATGTCTGGGACAGGGTAAGAGTATCTGATATCCAACATTTTCCTGGAAGACTAGCAAATACAGTAACACATGACAAAATAAATCAGTAGTAATAGGATTGGAAAGGAAGAAACAAGAACATTCATGAGCATAGGCAAACTATTAGAACTACTATTTTTGAAGATGTCTGGATGTAAGATCAGTATATACAACATTATTATAGGCCTTTGGACCCATAAAAAACGCCTAGAATATAATGTTTAAAAAAAGATAGTATTTACAATAGCACTTAAAACTATAAGGTACCATAGCAACATTTTTTTTTTTTTTTGGATAGGAAACAGTAAAACTGCTTTTATTTGAAGACAACATGATTGTGTACATACAAAATCCTAAGGAATTTTCCAAAAAGTGGC